CTGCTCCCCGCCCATTTCTTTTCGGTTGGGGGAGAGGTCTGGTCCGAAATGACCAGGACGGTACGGACTCATTTATGGGTGGCATGAACGCCGAAATTCACTTCCGAGTGAATAGAAGGCGAAGGAAAGGGGCGAAAGCCCCAAAACAAATAATCCACACGTGCATGCAAATCGGGTAGTAGGCGCCATCTAGCGCCTCCCCGATAAAAAGTAACAACCGTCGGTAACCCACCACGGTTGAATGGCAGTCGGTAAAGTAGGAATCTTCCCTGCCGACTGATGAAAAAGGTACCGGTTGGTGAGCAATGCCACTAGATGGCGCCACCTCAGTTGAAAAATACTGAAAAAGCCGAGAAAGGTTCTCTTAATTGGGAAAACACCCCCCAATACTGCCAAAGGCGGGAAATGGAGTGTTTTTTCAAATACAAAAGAGGGAAAAGCCTAAGAAAGAGCGAGAAAGAGGGAAAAGTGCCTGAAAAGGCAGGGAATACCCCCAAAATGTCCATAAACACCCGAAAATGGCGAAAAATATAGGGGCAAGACAGTTAATCACCCAGAACTAGGGAGTTTTCGTTCAGAAATACTCACTAGATGATCCTGGGGATTTATAGCGGCTTTTACTAGATAAGTAAAATTCCCCGAAGAGCCTCCAGAGTAGCCGCCGACCCAGAGAAGGGGGCGCCACATACTCGGAGAAGGAACAAGAGTAGGGAGGACCCCCCACTCTGTACTGCAGAGTATAAAAGGAGCTGCAGGACTCCCAGAAAACTCTTTTCTGTCGTAAAGGCAGAGGTTGAATAAGCCTCCTGACTTTACGGAAGACTCCCTGGGCACCGAAGAAGGATTTGCTGAATAAGCAAACGGAAGGCGGGGACGAGGAGAAAACCCCTGAGACCTCGGTAGGACCGAAAGGTTCAGAAATGGATCCCGAAAGGGGAGCCAAAAAGAAGACGCAGAGGAAACGCACAGGAGAAGTGACGACCTCGGAAAGTAGTGGTGGAGAATCCGAGGCTGAAAAAGTCTCGAGATCGAAACCAGAGAAGAAGGGGCCGCTCTCAGAGGAGGAGAGGGCTAAAAGGCCAATCAGTCCATTGGTGACGGATTGGAGCCTTCCCTTGCCGAAGGACAGGCCAGGCCAAGGGGCCGAAAGGTCCTCAGAGAATCTAGCCTCGCGAATAGCAATGCTGAGAATCTTCGCTGAGGAAGCGAAGAGGCTAGAAGAGCAGGTCCGGATTTCAGGACTGATTGGAGCTGCAGCCCCTCCCCGCAGAGGGCGAGGGAGACCGAAAGGCAGCAAAACCACTAGCCGAAATGCGAGTGGAGCTACGACGCCGACGGAAGGAATTCCGGGCGTTACGGTAACGAACGCCACGCCGACGGCTGAGGAAATACTTGCTCAGGTGCAGAAACTGAGCAGGGAACTGAGGGGACAATTGGGGCCAGCAATGGCCAACCCTCAACAGAAGGTCCGAGAACCAGGGCCTGAGGTTCCGAGGCAGTCTCCCACAAATCCTCCAGGGCGAACAGCCCTAGGAAATGATTATGGGGAAAATGCAAGATACGCACGCCGCAGAGAGCGTCGTAGGCAAGCCTCCGAGTCAAGCACTACGGAGAGCGATTTTTACGGCCGCGAGGATCGTAGAAATCGTTATGAAAGCTCTGGCAAAGCCCTGGATTATTTAACCAGGTGGGGCATATGGCCAACCCTCATTCTATTCTGGGGGGGGGATGGTCTCAGGCGCGGGGCATTCCCTTTCCTCGACCGAAAAATCAAAGAAAGTGAGTAAAAGAGCAGTAAATTCTGCAAAATTGAATGTTTCTGTCGTGAAATGGGCCAAAAATGCTGAAAGAGGCATTTACCGACGCCCGGTAAAGAAGACTATTCTGAAAAGAATAGCATTACCGACTGCAGGTGTCGGAGGTACGGTTTCCGCCCGCGAGGGTGAGCCACGTGACGGACAAGTCGCGCGGAAAAATGAAAATTGACACCTCTGATTGGTATCAATCAAGGGTGTTTAAAAGGACCGCCTAAATATGCAAATTTAGGTCGAAGTCCAGGTCACTAGGGGGGACCACCGGCGGCGATTAATTTAATCGACACGCCCCCTAATTCCCCTACCCCCAACACCTGTGGAATTGGGGGAAATGACCACGGGAAGCGTCCTTTTCCGTCTTGAACGATAGTGACACGATAGTGACAGGACGCGAAAATTTTTCAACGCTCCCGAAGGATTGCACAGTGTGCACGTGGTGGATAACCCCGTGCAATGGACAAAACGTTGGACGAGTTAGTGCAGAAGGTGGTAAAGACCGCCGAAGAAGCACAAGCAGGTAGGTCGGGCTCCCAGGCGCCCGAGGAAAGCACCCAGGGCGAAATAACCCTGGAGGAAAGTGTCGGGGGAGCGACCACATTGCCGCAAGGCAATGAGGCCAATCCCCTCATAGAACTAACCTCTCTGTCTATTGCAGAGAGAGAGAGCTCACGACTGAGGAGCTGGCCGAAATGGCTTTGCTGCTCGGGGAAGAGGAAGACGAGCCCCCATCGCCCGTCTTCGAGCCTCTGGAGAGGATGGAGGTGCACCCCATGGAGGTGGAGGTGTCTACCACGGCACCTTCTCCCCTGGTGGACGAGACTCGGGTGAAAAATCCCGAGGAGAGTGCAGCTCCAAAGGCAACGCCGGAGGAGGAGCTGGTGAGGAGTTTGGTGGCGACGTTGTCGGCCAACCCTGGGTTGCTGGCGGCTGTGTTTGCACAGCTGCCACCTGTCAACCTGGGGCCCTCGACGTCAGCGATGCCTCCACCAGCACCAGTAGTAAGGGCGGAGGAGACGGCCGGACCCTGGGAAAGGAAGACGGGGCGAAAAACCCTCGTCAAACCTCCCCCCAGGAGATCAGAGACCCCCCTCCCAAAGCCCGAAGCCGAGGAGCAGAGCTTCAAAGCTAAGGGACGAGGGATAAAGGGAGCGGCGAAAGAGGTGGTGCCGCAAGGCTACACTGGGCAGGGCACCGGGGCAGGGACGAGGCGCACCTACGCCGAAGTCCTGCACGGAAAGAAGCCGGAGAGCTCAGGGCCGAAAGGCTCTGAGAGGAAAATTCCCCCAGCCGCAGCGCTGAAGCCCGAGGCCAAAGAGGCGACCTCCGAGGCCAAGGGCAAACTCCCTTCANAAAGCCCGAAGCCGAGGAGCAGAGCTTCAAAGCTAAGGGACGAGGGATAAAGGGAGCGGCGAAAGAGGTGGTGCCGCAAGGCTACACTGGGCAGGGCACCGGGGCAGGGACGAGGCGCACCTACGCCGAAGTCCTGCACGGAAAGAAGCCGGAGAGCTCAGGGCCGAAAGGCTCTGAGAGGAAAATTCCCCCAGCCGCAGCGCTGAAGCCCGAGGCCAAAGAGGCGACCTCCGAGGCCAAGGGCAAACTCCCTTCAACAGGGAGGAGGAAGGGGAAGAGGTCAGGGGCGCAAAACCCTGAAGGAAAGGACCCCGAAGCGGAGGCACGGAGCATTCACCTCCAAATACTCCAGCACGGGGGGGAAGGACCCACAGAGGCGGTTGGGGCGAAAATCCTCAAGCGTAAGGCCTGTGAAGACGAGACGATGGATACAACATCCCCTCTCGTCGACGACGAAACCTCCAGGCCGGAGGAGAAGAGGAGGAAACTCCCGCAATCCCTCATTCCAGCACGCCTGTGCTGGAACTGTCGGAAAACGGGACATAAGGGCAGAGATTGTCCGGAGGCACGAAGGCCCCACTGCCGAAGGTGCGGCATCCCATGCAGCGAGGAATTTTGTGCCTCCTGCACCAAAAAATGGGAAGCCATGGGCCCATGGGTGCCTGAATTCGGGCAGAATGTGCCTCGAGACACCCTCAAACTGCTGAGGAAGCAGCAGAAGGCGGACGCCAAAGCGAGGGCGAAACCACGCCCTCCCAGGCGAGCCCCGGAGGCCGGAAGGCCCTTCCAGAGGGGGCCGGGTTATGTGGCCCAAGGAGAGCACGGGAAAGGACCTCGGTTCATTTCCCTGCAACCGAGGAAGCCGGCAAAACCGGGTAAGATCGCCCGGACGGAGCGGAGAGCGAGGGAGAGAGCTGAAAAGCTCGCTCACGCTCAGCCGATGGAGGAGGATGAACTCCCAAAGGCTGAGGGGACCGAGAGCGAGGACTCCGCCTGAAAAGACGGGAGGAGGAGCTCGGCAACCGAAGTTTTGGACAGGGGAGGGCACTTTCGCTCTGCTCCCCGCCCATTTCTTTTCGGTTGGGGGAGAGGTCTGGTCCGAAATGACCAGGACGGTACGGACTCATTTATGGGTGGCATGAACGCCGAAATTCACTTCCGAGTGAATAGAAGGCGAAGGAAAGGGGCGAAAGCCCCAAAACAAATAATCCACACGTGCATGCAAATCGGGTAGTAGGCGCCATCTAGCGCCTCCCCGATAAAAAGTAACAACCGTCGGTAACCCACCACGGTTGAATGGCAGTCGGTAAAGTAGGAATCTTCCCTGCCGACTGATGAAAAAGGTACCGGTTGGTGAGCAATGCCACTAGATGGCGCCACCTCAGTTGAAAAATACTGAAAAAGCCGAGAAAGGTTCTCTTAATTGGGAAAACACCCCCCAATACTGCCAAAGGCGGGAAATGGAGTGTTTTTTCAAATACAAAAGAGGGAAAAGCCTAAGAAAGAGCGAGAAAGAGGGAAAAGTGCCTGAAAAGGCAGGGAATACCCCCAAAATGTCCATAAACACCCGAAAATGGCGAAAAATATAGGGGCAAGACAGTTAATCACCCAGAACTAGGGAGTTTTCGTTCAGAAATACTCACTAGATGATCCTGGGGATTTATAGCGGCTTTTACTAGATAAGTAAAATTCCCCGAAGAGCCTCCAGAGTAGCCGCCGACCCAGAGAAGGGGGCGCCACATACTCGGAGAAGGAACAAGAGTAGGGAGGACCCCCCACTCTGTACTGCAGAGTATAAAAGGAGCTGCAGGACTCCCAGAAAACTCTTTTCTGTCGTAAAGGCAGAGGTTGAATAAGCCTCCTGACTTTACGGAAGACTCCCTGGGCACCNCGGCTTTTACTAGATAAGTAAAATTCCCCGAAGAGCCTCCAGAGTAGCCGCCGACCCAGAGAAGGGGGCGCCACATACTCGGAGAAGGAACAAGAGTAGGGAGGACCCCCCACTCTGTACTGCAGAGTATAAAAGGAGCTGCAGAGCTCCCAGAAAACTCTTTTCTGTCGTAAAGGCAGAGGTTGAATAAGCCTCCTGACTTTACGGAAGACTCCCTGGGCTACGAAGAAGGATTTGCTGAATAAGCAAACGGAAGGCGGGGACGAGGAGAAAACCCCTGAGACCTCGGTAGGACCGAAAGGTTCAGAAATGGATCCCGAAAGGGGAGCCAAAAAGAAGACGCAGAGGAAACGCACAGGAGAAGTGACGACCTCGGAAAGTAGTGGTGGAGAATCCGAGGCTGAAAAAGTCTCGAGATCGAAACCAGAGAAGAAGGGGCCGCTCTCAGAGGAGGAGAGGGCTAAAAGGCCAATCAGTCCATTGGTGACGGATTGGAGCCTTCCCTTGCCGAAGGACAGGCCAGGCCAAGGGGCCGAAAGGTCCCCAGAGAATCTAGCCTCGCGAATAGCAATGCTGAGAATCTTCGCTGAGGAAGCGAAGAGGCTAGAAGAGCAGGTCCGGATTTCAGGACTGATTGGAGCTGCAGCCCCTCCCCGCAGAGGGCGAGGGAGACCGAAAGGCAGCAAAACCACTAGCCGAAATGCTAGTGGAGCTACGACGCCGACGGAAGGAATTCCGGGCGTTACGGTAACGAACGCCACGCCGACGGCTGAGGAAATACTTGCTCAGGTGCAGAAACTGAGCAGGGAACTGAGGGGACAATTGGGGCCAGCAATGGCCAACCCTCAACAGAAGGTCCGAGAACCAGGGCCTGAGGTTCCGAGGCAGTCTCCCACAAATCCTCCAGGGCGAACAGCCCTAGGAAATGATTATGGGGAAAATGCAAGATACGCACGCCGCAGAGAGCGTCGTAGGCAAGCCTCCGAGTCAAGCACTACGGAGAGCGATTTTTACGGCCGCGAGGATCGTAGAAATCGTTATGAAAGCTCTGGCAAAGCCCTGGATTATTTAACCAGGTGGGGCATATGGCCAACCCTCATTCTATTCTCATTCTATTCTCATCTGTTTTATGATAATTTTCATCCCAAACCCCAAATCACGTAAATTTTCATCATAATGAAGAAACAATGATGGGTCATATTTCCGTTTACACAACACTCCATATATATTTTATTTTATTATTTGTATGAGAAAAATACTCACATAGTATCGTCGCCTGGTTGCAGGTCCTCGAATTCCTCATTTGTTGTCAATTGCACATATGTGATGGCACCTTCCATTATGGATTTTGAATCTTGATCTTCATTGAACAACCGTCTAAAATTCTCTCATCATGATACTGTGGCGCCACACACGTGGCCATGAGCGATATTAGGAAAGACGGCTGTGGTGGCGCGTCGGTTTCGCGGTCACGCTTACGCTCATTCGATATTTCGAGATATATCGATACTCACTTTCTCTCCTTTTTTCAATAGGACTATGTCAGTTTGTAACATATGATTCGATGACGAAATTTATCCTTTGCACAGAAATACTGCTCAAATTGATAAATTTTACGTTTCCGATATTCCGCTCTACCAACGTCAACTGCACTTCAATCCAACAACATTTTGCATAAAGAACAGAACAAGTCATCAATCAGTTATTGGATAGGCTTTGTATTCTTCCAATTTCTTATTAATATTGTGACCGTTCATGATGAACAATGACCATCAATTTTCACGGAGAAGTCAATTAGTTAAACCAATGGTGCTACTGGTCGAGTTGGAGTGAGAGGTTCTCAAAAGCACCGCTATATTTTCGAATGATGTCCACAAAAGTACCACAGGGTATATGAAATCTCCTATGTATAGGTACTTTTAAGGACGTCGTTAAATTTTTTTTTTCGATGATTTTCCAACTTTCATTGAGTTTTGTTTTTGGCATATTTATTTGTAACATATGACCTGATTAAAAAATTGCTCCATTACTCGGAGTAAACTGCTGAAATTGATCCATTTCACGTTTCTCATATCTTCGACGACTAACGCCAATTATACGTCGACACGGTAACATTTCGTATACAAATATCCAGCAGGCTATCAATGGATTATTTAGGATGCTATTGTATACTCTCCATTCGTTTTGCAATATTTTGAATATAAATAATTAATGAGAAATTACCATCACTTCTCAAGAAAAAGCCACTAAGTTCAAAGCATGGTGCTATTAATAAGGTTGAAATGAGAGGTCCTTAAAATTACCTGTAAATAGGGGATTTCATATATGCTGTGGTACTTTTGAGGAGGTTACTTTACAGGTACGTTGGAAGACGGCGTTTAATTCTGGTTTTTTTTTTTTCAATTTTTCCCAAGCTCCATCGAGTTCTGTTTCTAGTATGTCAGTTTGTAACACATGATCTGATGACGAAATTTTTTCTTTGCTCCGAAAAACTGCTGAAATCGACAAGTTTTACGTTTCGGATATTCCGCTCTATTAACGTGAATTGCCCTTCAATTCAGCAAGATTTCGCATAAAAAACGGAACAGCTCGTCAATCGATTATTAAATATGCTTTGTATTGTTCCAAATTCTAATGTCATATTGTGACCGTTGATAATTATTGAATAATTAGGATCAATTTTCACAAAGAAGTCAATTAATTAAGACAATGATGCTACTGGCCGAGTTGGAGTGAGAAGATCTCAAAAGCACCGCTATGTTATCGAATGATGTTCTCAAAAGTACCACAGGGTATATGAAATCTCATATGTATGGGTACTTTTGAGGGCGTCGTTAAATTTAGTTTTGTTTTCGATGGTTTTTTTCCAAGTTTCATTGAGTTTTGCTTTCGACATATTCAATTGTAACATATGACCTGATTAAAAAATTCCTCCATTACTCGGAGAAAACTGCTGAAATTGATCGATTTTACGGTTTTTCATATCTCCCACGACTACCGTCAATTGTACGTCGTCACTGTAACATTTCGTATACTGATGCCCGGCAGGCCATCATTAGATTATTTAGGATGCTATTCTATGCTTTTAATTTATTTTGCAATGTTGTGAATATAATTAATTAAGGAGAATTACCATGAGTTCTCAAGAAGAAGTCAATCAGTTCAAAGCATGGTGCTATTAATAAGGTTGAAATGAGAGGTCCTTAAAAGTACCTGTAAATATGGGATTTCATATATCCTCTGGTACTTTTGAGGACGACCGCACATATGAATTCTGATATTTACAGTTACTTTAGAGGACGTCGTTTTATTCAATGTTTTTCTTCATTTTTCCCAAGCTTCATCAAGTTTTCTCGCTAATATGTCAGTTTGTAATATATTGTCACGTCATAACGACGTACGAAAATTATTATTAATTCCAACTTTTGAAAATAATAATAATTTCATAAAATAAAAAAATTTCATATTTAAATACCAATGGAATCATACGATTCCAATGGTATATTAAAGCGATCGTCTTACATCCGGTAAGACGATGGAAAAATTTACAATTGGAGAAAGATCATGTGATTCATACCACATGGATGGTATGAACGCGCGTTGCCGAGAGCCTCATCGCCCTGGTTTCGGGTTGCTGTTGCGAGGCAATCCACCTCGTAACAGTCCCACCATTGTCCAATGCTTCCCTCCCCTCACCTCACTCTTCACGCCTAACTACGCATCTTTATTTTTCCCTTCTCCCCGCCCTCCTCGCGCTACGAAACGTTCACACGCGCTTGTTCCCCTATTCCTTCTTCTCCGCACCCCTCTTACCACCGAACGCGACCATGCTGGCTACGCCAATTTTCCCCCTCCCCCAATAAGACACATGTCTCCTCAGCCAGCCTACCCCCTCTCTCTAAAGAGTGCACTCAGCACTCATCCACACCTTATTCCCCACCCCCATACAATTGAAAATTCGTTTATGTATTTACATACACGAATTAATAATCGACGACGCAAAAAGGGCATCGCCCATGCAGTCCGTCAATCAGTCAGTCAGTCGTGTCGTGATTCCGCCCCGGAAAGGAACAAATCCAAAGTCTAAAAAGGAATAAGTGGAAAAA